ACCCAATGAGGTTTAGTCCTAGACGAAAGATTTCATCCTCCGGATTTCAAAGATTATGTACCAGTAAATACAAGTAAATGGTCAATCTGTCTTTCCCCAAAGTCTACAACAACCTTACCAATGATTTGGCTTGGTTTCATTATAGTAGAATAACATTGCTCTTATGTAAGATCCTAAAAAATATTGTGTAATGTTTCAGCAGGACATTGTCAGCTCCGTAGATTGCAGTAAAAGGAGACCTGAATCAGAACGGACATGATTTGATCCAGACTCTGGCTGAATTTCCGATATTAACAAAACTTTACAAAAAGGCTGCTTGTGGAATTAAATGTATGATTTGTGCGTACATACCAGCAGAATTTAGCCTCTAAGATGTTATAAGGTGATGAAGTAAAGACTCATTTCAGTCGTTACCTTAAATGGTTTTCCATGCTTGTTGTACAACCAATCAGGATATTGGCTATTTGTTTCAGCCATCCGCAAAATGGATGTTGGCGCAGTTTGAGGGAGGATCAGAGGAGTGTGAAGGCAGTATATGTTTATTGTAAGTATTCAGAGTACAGCTGAATGCAATTGTTGATGTGAAACTTGGCTCTGCCAGCTTTAGGAGTAATTGTTAATAGGTTCAGTATTTTCTGAAAATGCTTGTGCGCATATGTTTGCACACAGCTTTATTTTACAGCTGTTGGAAAAGTCAACGAAGATGTCAAAGTCGCTTTGAAAGAAAGGCAACACTGACACTAACCTCTGGTGCATCCAAAACCTCCTCATAACTCTCTTTTATGTGCCACACTGTTACCTTTTCCCACGAGTAAGGCAGCGAAATGAAGACAAACAGAAACTGAAAAAAAAGGCTTTGACTTATTTCAAGATGTTCAGGAAGAATGAGGTTTGTTGTTATCCTTGCTGAGTCATTGGAGTTGTATGGATGCAGAGTAGAATGATAAAGAAGCAGTTGTGTTATTTTAGAACTTGGTTCAAATGTTCCTGAAACAGTTTTACGATCCACATAAAATAGAAGATTGCGACACTTCTTGGTGCATATTGCTTTTGCAAACATCAATTATATGGAATATAAAACAAGTGGAAAATCAAATAAAGTGTTGTGTTTTAAATGTAATGCCTTAGTTAGTCATTTTTGAAGCAATTGACACTCAATTGACACACGCATTTCTTGATGTTTCTTCAATTATTACTAAGGAAACAGTTGAAAAAGAGTATTAGTGTCCTCCACCAGAATTTGGTTCTAAAGATTTATTCGGAAATGCAAATAATTTGTAGTCTTGAAGACAGAATGTGAAATGTGCATCCCCTAGCTACACCACATAACTAACAATGACAGAGTAACAGAACAGCTAAAAGTGATGCACTACGTGTAGCGCTGACCTTTGCATTAACAACGCTTCCTGACTTGGGTCAATAGGTAGAGGTCAAACCAGAGGGGGCGGACCTGTGTAATTAGCTTGGACATGGAAAGCCTGCTCTAAATCAGAATAACGTCCATCGTATTAGACTCTCCATAAATCTGGATGCCTTGGTTTCATTTGTGTCAGTGGGTAATATGTCTCTACGGTGATTAATGTTAACAATAAGGATGTGTGGCAGCTTTTACAATCCCGGTGGCCACAATAAGAATCAAAGCTCCGAATGTGGTCAAGTTGGCACCATTCGATACAATTGAGCTAAGCACGACCACAAGTCTGTGGTCCAACTGCGAACACATGTCCATTTGTTTCACTGCTTTATTCGTGTGTTTGTAAACAAGTCGTGACAGTCCATGCACGACATCAAGGGAAGTAAACAAGCACAGTTTTGTTGCTTACGGTCAGTGGCAGGATCGATGCTAATCACATGACGCCCAGACGGGATTTCTACATTCCCACTAAGAGCGCCTTATTTTGAAGTCCCTTATGAGGTGAGATGGACAGATGAGCGTTGGTCACATGACTGTGATTTGCACCAGTGAGCACACATTCACAATACAGGTCGTAAAAGCCCAGAGTGATGTACTGCCCTCAGCTCTGACAAGATGATTAGAAAGGCCCGGCTGTGGAGGAGAAGCTCGACCCCGGAGCTGGAGCTGAAACGTCTTCATCACCTCTGACACCATCTAATGACACTCATTTGCAATCTGACCTCCTGAACATTACCAGACTACTAGAGCATGATAACAACACTACCTGCCCCCTCAATAGCTTTCAATTTGATGTTCTCCTAAAGGGGAAGTCCATTTCTGACAAATAACATCTTGGGTCGTCCTATAGATGTGCAACACCTGAGTTTGCTCGGAGACATTTTAGTACACTGTGTTATGTCGGTATATAGTACCTTGTATCTAGAGGATTTTTGAATTATCTCAAAGTAGCCATGTGTTTTTAATGAGCACATAAAGGCAAGAAAACTTGCATCAAAGACCGCATTTGTCCAAAAGTCTGTGCAAGCAATTGATTTGCTTCTAGTGTTGGGGAATAGCACAAGTGAACAATGTTGTAATCTGTAGCATTAAACATAAGCAACAAGTTTATTGAAACTTCTGAAAAGGATGATATGTCTTGTATGTCAAATACCACATTCATGTTCTCAGTTAGGAGAGGAAAATTCAATTATGTTCTGTTTGGTTTAGTTTGAAGGGTACAGTTTGTTCTCTGCAGGTTGTAGAGCACATGTAAAAAAAGGAGGTTGCACATAAGCATGAAATGCTCTACATGCAAGCTTTTGCACACATGCAAATACTGTCAATGCACAGGTACCCAAACAGATATCGTAGTGTCCAACTTTATTTAATTATTTCTCCAGTTTATCACAAAATGTTGGCCCATCTTCCTTTAATCTGAAACATGTTAAACATCTGCACTTGCTTTCAGGTCGATACAACGTGCTGAAATACTGACAAGACAAAATATGAATCGAAAGGTTTTGCTTTCACGGCCAAGTCCTGCTTCTTAAGATTGGCCCTTTCCTCTGAAATGTTCTCACCTACTTCACGCCACAATCAACTGGCAAGAGCTGTTGAAATTGATGGATTGTGCTTCTAATGGCATGACCTGATGCCATTATGGTTAGTGACACGTTGCACTCTAATGGTTGAGCTCTTTATGTGCATGTGTGTAAAAGTGTAAGAGTGTGAGCACATGTGTGTGTCAGATAGGACTGCAGGCAAGGGGAGGGAGGAAGAGACGCTAATTGAAATTCCTTCAGCCATGTCTGGCAGAGCCTTGGTGTCTGAGTGGCGCACACACACACACACACACACACACACACACACACACACACACACACACACACACACACACACACACACACATATATGGACTCACACATATCGACACTGGCCCTGGCCCTAATAAAAGTGGGCTTTGCCATATGGAGGCCATGTGCAAGACTGGCCTCTCTGTGCTCGTGTGTGTGCGTGCGTTTTTGTGTGGGTGTGGGGGTTTGTGTGTGTGCTCTTAGCAGGAGAGGCTTGTACAGACCCACAGAGATGCATACAAACCTATTACATGTTTATACAATTGGGCAAAAGATAAAGGTCCATTTATAGAGATTACATTCCCACACTTGACATGCTGTGACAGACTCAAACACATACAGCAGACGTCATGCAGACTGTTTTATACTCTTAAAGAAATAAGCCTGTGATTTGGACGTCGCCCATCAAATTCAGTAAACTGGCAAGGAAACTCTGGACAGGTAAATGTGCGAGTAATGTTCTGTTCTCCCTCAACAACTACTGTCAATGTGCCCTCAGGCCGAGCTGCGCACAGACCAGAAACCTGTGGCAGTCCTGGAGAACTTCCAGATGTGTTTAACTCGAAGATAAAGTTGTGGACTACAGAATGATAACAGCTGATTTTCTGTTCTGGGTCAGTCATAAACGATAATGATGACTCTTGCAAGTCTTTAAAGCGTTTATATTTGCTGGTGAACAGATAAGATGCTTTGTTGCTATTGTGGTGTTTCGGTATTTAAGTTACTGGAAAAACCAAAGCATACCTCAGTTGTATTCAAATGCACATTCTTAACATGCACCTTCGGTCCTATTATCTCACAAGATGTTCCACATCTCTGCATTCAACGTGCGATCATACTGTGTCCTTACTGAAATCCTACACTACATCACATTGTGCCTTAAAAGGTGCCAGTAGAGAATCTCAGTGCCCCACAGTGAAGGACTTTGATCTGCTGTGAAGCGTTTGACTGTGTGAATGTGAGAGTGATTGGTGCTGACAAAAGACCATAAGTGCTGAATGACCCTTCTCAGGATAAATAAAGGTTAAAATCATATTTAACTTTCAAAATGCACAACCGGTAAAAGGAGCAGGAATTGCATGGTTATTACTTTACATCTGAGTCCATAAAACCTCACACTTAGCATATTCCCACCACTATTATGGCTGCAGCACAATAGCACTACGGAGTAAATGGACATTTCCTTCTCCCCAGGGTTTCCGATAATAGCTGTGTTTTAGATATTTCCTCAAAGAAAAAGAACTTTCTCTGGGCGATTTCTAATTGGTTCCAGTGGATCATTTCTCTTTTTTATCTTCTTGGCTTTCTCATTTAGTTTTTTTTCCTCTTCTCCACCACTGTCATGCTCCCTCTTTTTCGTGACTCTCTGTACTCCGCCTCTGCACATGGGGAAAAGGCTGAACAGCACGCAGCTCTGTTATTTGTTCATTTGCCCAGTCACCTGTCTTAATGTGCTTGGTTGCCCAGGGTGGAAAACCAGAAACATCTCTCTTGGCAGATAAGCACACGAGACTCAGTGGGAAGAAACCAGTCCATAATTTGCTCTCTTGTGTTCTCTTACATGTGGGCATACAAATGTTGAACAGAAAACGTCATGTGAACTTCTCTTTGAGCGCCTCAGTCAATGTTTGGTGCAACTAAAAAGTCTTTGAATAAATGAAATGTCTCAAAATACATTAAAGGCTCTACATTTCAATTAAAATATAAGAAACCGTGGAAACACATTAAGAAATGTAACAAAGTCGACTTACTGTATGGGTCGTCCTCACTTTTGGTGCCACTAACTTTTCCTTTTCTATCAATGCGGAGGAAGAATTTCTGGAAGGAGAACAGTTTCCTTCTGCGCACGTCCCCTTGAAGATGGTTGTAGCTGCTCCGCACGTGGCGCCCGATGACTGTCGCGGAGGACGATGACACATTGGTCGCCCGGGGCAACCTCGCAGAGGATGCGTGCAGCGGTGAGGGTGACGAGGAAGGTGGCGCATGTGAGATGAAGATGTGAGGAGGAGCCCCTCTCGCTGCATTGTGGTGCTTCTCAGAGTCTGGTGATGAAGCGGACAGGGGTGCGGAGGAAGAGGTTCCGAGCAGGAGAAGCAGGAGGAGGAAGGTGAAGGAGAGGATGAGAGAGGGGGGTCTGTAGCAGGTGGAGGACCAGGCGTGCGGTGCACCTTGTGTCACTGTCCATCTACACATGGTAGTGGAGCTGGGAGAGCTGTGGAGGTGCTCAGGGGCTGGGGCATGCTGAGCTGGGTGCAGGGAAAGGGAGCGAGAGTGGGAGAAACTCCCCCTGACCGACCGCCTACACCTCCTCTGCCCCGGGACCCCCAACCTCACTGGGACTGTAGGTTTAAAAACCGGTAGAATGACTGCGGTAGACGTGATGTGGCTTTATCGGTAAAATTATTGGAGATGGTGATGCAGCCTTCAGCTTTGTGGCTGGCTCTGCTGTAGTCTCCGTTGCTGTTTATTCCTCAGAAGCGACGCAGGAATGCGTCAACATCCATAACTCAGATCACCTCGCCACGGGAACAACTTGGGGTTCGCCTCAAAGACCTCTCACCACACTCCTCCTTCTCCTCCAATGACTGTTGCTCTCTGCTCCTGGTTACTCACACACACTCACTCACTTAAAATCCCTTTTTTAAAGTTTGAAAGTACACCTACACTCTGATATCTAAAGACACAAACACAACCCATTCATATACACTGCTGAAACCTGCTCCGCACACATGTCCCAAACCATTGATCCCCTCCAGTGCAGGGAGGTGGAGGAGGTCTGGATTAAAGATGACAAACTGCTCAGTACAAAATTAATAAATAAAATCTGGAAGTAAAAAAAAAAAAAGATTAATGCTGCTTCTCATAAAATGTCCCAAGAAATCCATGCAAGGCAGGCCAACCAAAAAAAGTGACAGAATCCAGACTGGACTTCTCCTCTTCTCTCTCTTTGTCGGAGCTGGTTTGAAGTTACTGGAGTGTGTAACTGAGCCCGGGAGCTAGTCTTTCTCCCCTCTCTGTGCGTCTTGTCAGTGAGCTCCCGTATCTCTCCCGTATCTCTCCTCTGTCCTCTCAGAGTCTGAGCGCTGGAGCGGTGCGTTGCCTCTCTTCTTTCCTCCAGTGTGCGGCTCCCTCTCTTTTGGCCCCCTCCCTCTTTCCTTTGCCTCTCCCTCCCTCCTATCTCTATCAGTCGTGCGCTCTCTGGTTATCTGGAGTTTCTCTGAGGTGACCGAATCTTGTGTTTCCTTTCACCTTATTTATCTGCTGCATTTCCCCACATGTCATCTCTTAGTGTAATTGGATGTCTATGAAACCACTTGGCTTTGAAGAGCTGGATGCATTTATATATGTGTGTGTGTGTGTGTGTGCGTGTGTGTGTGTGTGTGTGTGTGTGTGTGTGGGTGTGTGTGTGTGTGTGTGTGTGTTGTGTGTGTGTGGTGTTGTGTGTTGTGTGTGTGTGTGTGTACGTGTGTGTGTTGTGTGATGTGTGTGTGTGTGTGTGTGTGTGTGTGTGTGTGTGTGTTGTGTGTGTGTGTGTGTGTGTGTGTGTGTGTGTGGTGTGTGTGTGTGTATGTTGTGGTGTGTGTGTGTGTGTGTGTGTGTGTGTGTGTGTGTGTGTGTGTGTGTGTGTGTGTGTGTGTGTGTGTGTGTGTGTGTGTGTGTGTGTGTGTAAGGGGTAACCCCGTTTTCTCTTTCCCTCCCTCGCCCTCTTTTCTCTGTCTCCTCCCCTTCCCAGACTAAACCCCACCAGTTGAGCAGAGCAGGTCTGAAATAAATCCATTCTTCATTTCTTTCTCCTTTTTGCTGAGCTATTCAATCCATCTTTCAAATATCTCTGTCCTCCCGATTAGGACTGGGGGTTGTTTGAATTTGTTCTTAATGTTAATTTGAAAATGTGATTTGTTTTACTTATGGCAGCTCTAAATTGTTACATACTTTATGTCTAAAATATGCATTATTTCCTTTAAATAAGACTGTGAACGTAACCGCTTTTAGGTAGAACCTTTTTTAGTTTGTACCAAAAGAGTATTTATTAGTGTACATATGTATGTATAATTGTTTTGTATTAATTATTGTGAAAGTTTAAAAGTTAACGGAAACAAACTCTTTTTAAGTCCACAATTCAATTTTGAATAACAAATGAAGCGTAGCGTTGTTTCAGGCAGTCACAGAAGTCCTTCCACTATCCTAGCGGCCTCGGCTGCTTCATTCATGATTCACAATGTCTGGCTCATTCACAGCTCTGCGGCTACCAGCTGACCTGTGATATCCAATCATATTCATGCAGGTGTACAGCGCGGCCATTATTAACCTGACACCTCACTTTATAACTGCCCCCACCAGCAGAGTCCTTGTTGCTCCCTCAGAGTGCAAATACTGTCCTGTCCAATGAAGTGTCTCTGACTAATTTTCCTGATTTCTTCTAATATTGGTGAAAAATACTCTCCTGAAGTGTCAGCTGTAAAAACATATACATTTTCTACCCTGCGTGACGCATAGCCTATGACGGGTAAAGGCCAAACATGTCTTCTCTGTGAAGATGCACAGAGCGGTTCTGAGCTAAGCAGCTCACAGCTATTTTGACAGATATACTGTCAATTGATTTCTTTACTTGGAGCTTAATCTTTAGATAAACATCTCCCAGTGTTTGGATGAAAGAAGTTGTGCCTTACGTGTGTCACCTTTCAAGAATCTAGGTCTGCTGTCTGGTTTCAGCGTTGTTTAATTTCCTTTTCACATTGTCAGACAACAGCCATATCTCCCTCTCTTCTCCGCCTCTTCTCTCATAAGTTTACTCAGTTACTACTTGGAACCTCTGACACAGGAGTCAGTGGTTCCAAGTAATAACTGAGTATGCAGCTGATTTGACTAACCACATTCTACTGTATTTCTAATCTCATTTAGTCCCTAAGTGTCAATCTGTCATGCAATTTTTCAGGAATTTCCAAAGATTATATTTTAATATAACACAGCAAGTTCTACAATAAATGACAAGGACTGCTTTCCCTTTTAAGGTGTGTGACTCTGACTGAGATATACAGCTGTTGGATGCCAACAATGTAGTCATTCATGTTTACCTTTACCAAACATATTCTAGTTCCAGCTTTCAAACGCTAGCATTTCTTTCTTATGTGTTAGTTAACTGAATGTCTTTGGGTTGACAAACAAGCGCTGTAGAAGCCATATATTCACTATAAAGTCTGTTCCACTTGTTCAGGTTCATCTTACATGTTAACACCTCCAAACAAAATTCAGCACCACAGACAGCACTTTACAATGTTCTTCATGTTGCTGTAAGAATTATTAGATATTTGTATTAGATATATTAGATATTATAAAACTGTCGTAGTGGCCTGCCATGCATTTTATTAATTTTTTTAAAGACATAATTCGATAAGTTTTATTTCTGAAGGAGAGCTTAGCTTACGTTGATATTAGGCCCCAAAAAAATCTTAAAATAAAAACTGTTAAATTGTCAATAGACAGACTATTTGGATATTCAACGAAAAGATTAATTGAATAGTTGAGATATTTTCTTTTACAGACGAATAAAGATTGAACATATTATAGTCATATTTGAAATGTGGGTTCTTGAGGATAGTGTTTATTCTAGAAAGTTTAACTTTTTGTATAATATAAGGTTTAAAGGCAGAACACCAACTATATGAATGAGAGCCTTGAAAAGCAATGATAATGGAAACTCTCAAAGGAAGAGTTAAGGAGTGGGAAGAAGAGACATGCAATTGCAAAGAGATAGAGGAAAACATCTGGTCAGTGGATATGTGGCTTTAATTTGGGGTGACAACACACAACACACATACACACACAAGTAAACAGATTATGTTTCTGACCCGCCTTTTATTGTACTCAAATGTTCAAACGGTTTAATCATTGCTGTGTTGTCATAGTAAGCACAAATCATTGAGCTCATTATCAGTTGCTGATCAATTACTGCCTGATCCCTTCATTACCTCGCCCCACAGCCTTGTTGTTCTGAGTTACAGTCCTAACAAGTCTCAGATGTTGGAAGTCAGTCGTCTGAGCGGGAAAAGATGTTCTGTCACACCAGAAAACAATTTGTTCGCTGCATATTTGTCTTTTTTCCCCCTGAACTACTTAAGAAGGATGTGGGAGCTTCCCTTCCCCGATAGGATTCTACTTCAAATGTTATTAGATCTGCCTAAGTAACAAAAAGCTCAAAATGGATTTACATTATTTTATGAAAGAGTATTTTCAATTAATTAATTAAACAACATAATCAAAAAAATACTTTTTGGGGAAGAAATGGTTCTTAATAAACTTGTGCTGATACATATTTGCATATTTACCGTTTTAAGATCTGTATATTAAGGTCACAATGCAAAAACAGTGCCTCTCTAATGATGAAAATATTTTTTTTTTAACGATGTGGCCACATTTGTCAATCTTTTTCTCCTTTGTTGAAAAAAAACGAGTCAGTCTTATTCTCTTGGTGGTTTTGGCTTAAACTGCTGTTGGAATCTGTGGCCAAACTTCATAGTCGAACAGAGTGAGGGTCCTGATCCAGGGTCAGCACAGAAAGCAAATGGCTACGATCTTTTTTCTTGAGCGACACAGACTTAAGATCAGTAAATGTGAGCGGCTTTACATATTCCAGTTTAGACGAGTTGACATAGGGTCTCCTCTGGCTCCGCTGGTCATGCCTTGGATAAATCTTGATTGCTCATGCCTAGGAGGAGAATGCCATTAGGGACCAGCAGTTCGGCTCAGTGATCCTAATTGTTTCATTGCGGTTGAGCTGGTGGCTTTGAACGCATTATGGTCTTCAAACCAGCTCTGCAAAAATGGCCCTGGCAGTTAACTTTAATTAGAGACACATTAAAACACTTATAGACAAAAGGGAGGTCTTGCGATAATGTACAGATACATTACAGTTAAGGTCAAGTTGCTGAATGGATCATTCTCAGTGAATGAAAAACATCAGTGCCAATCTTAATAACGCAGAGCACTTTCATTACGATCTATTTGGTTCCAGCTTTCTAATTTAGAGCCGTGATTTAAAATTAAACAACACATTCCTTTCATTTTTAGAACGGAGCTGTTCCCTTTCTCACTGAGTGTACTTTTGTCACTCCATTGGAATGAAATACGCACTTAAACGCACTGAAATTGAGAAAGAATACAGATCAGTGTGTTGACTTTACCAATAAGTGAAACACAAGTAAACACCTCTTTCTCAGACGGCCCCTGAAGTTAGGCCAGACTCCAGAGCAAAGAGACGCGACCTGAACATCGCATAAACAAAGAAGTTCTGAGACGCTGACGGAGAACAATAAGACTGATGCTTTGGTTTAAGGCTATTTTATGATTCACACGCTCCAGTATTTCTGATGTTCTCCTCATGCTGGTTTTGAATTGAAAACGGCAGGTTTATAATCACGAACACATCCCCTCCTTATGCTACAAATTACAATAGAGACAGCACTGTCTTCGTGAGAAAATTGGCTGGAGTTTACGTCATGATTGTCAAACTGTGGTGTTGACGATCTGGATTTTGTCATTAGCATGAATGTTTAATTTGTAAGAATTTTTAAGATCTTATACAGCAGACTATTTTCTTTTGTGGTGAACTTTTTAAGTCTTACCGGGTTTTTCATCCAGATGATTATTGGATGAAGATATCACAACCACAGATTTCTTGAAAAAGACAATCTGATACATCTGAATATGAAGACTACACAGGTCCTTAACAATGGAAACAAACAGCACATAGCGGTCTGATGCAGGCCTGCTGTTCTTCCTCATCCACAACTGTCCTCCAAAAGCGACAGTGAGAAGGAATAGTTTGTTTCTTAGGGCCATGCTGAAAGTTATGACTCAATATGAAGTCATAACAGAGCTAATTATACATTTGAAAGAAAGTGCTGCCATATTTTGGTTTTTAGACACCCAACCTAGCATCTGTGAAACAGACATAACCTTCTGACATCTGCCGTACACCAACAGCTCTGATGCCATAATGAGCACTGCACTCAAACAAACAACCGTCAGAAACACACACTCTCCAGGAAGTGTGTGCAGC